TTTGTTTGATAATATGTAAATTTGCAATCTTTAGTTTTATTTTAATTTTTTTTTACAACCACTGTTACAAATAAACATTAATGATTAATGCAACCAATTAATTATTGGTCTGAATTGGTCAGTAAATTTAATAATTGTCGAAACCATGTAACAACTATTGCAACCAATAATATGGTTACTATATGTATATATTTTAGCAACCAACAGATATATTATTTATCAACCAACATATACGGTCACTATATGTATATTATGTAGCAACCAAAAAAAAATGTGGTGGCCAAATATATATCCTATAGCAACAATAAAATATGGTCACTACACGTATATATCATTTAACGACCAAAGTTATATGGCCACTATATATGTTGCTATAGCAACCATGTTAATATTATTGCCACCATAAAATTTACATTAGCGAGTCAAAAACTGGTCGTTAATAATTATATTTTTAGTGACCATTATTAGTTCGCCGCTAAATCTCATCTTCTAGCGTCCAATTAATTTTTTTGTCACTGAGTACTTTTAGTAGCTACCCTGTTGTGACTACCGGTGACCATGCTTAATTTGGTCGCTAGAAGTTTTAGCTACCATTTTCTAACTTTTAGCGACCATACATAATCGTCACTAAAACCAATATTTCTTGCCTTCGATTTATGTATGTTTGTATTGAAATAATCATCTGAACATCAAATCTTAACAAAACAAAAAAATTACATTACAATATTTAAATTTTTAAAGTATGAAGTTGCATATATATATTTTTCTTCAATTAATCTAGTAAAAATTTCCAGCAACCTATAAATATTTCTACAATTGTACATTGCAAACATTTCGATATCATACTATCAATCTATTTAATTTCTTCTATATGATAATAATAAACCAAAAAAAAAAAAAAAAAAAAAAAAACGTGTATGTATTTTATTATGCCTAGTGAGTTTTCACGAGAAACCTCGGCAGTCCAATTTTGTGTCCGAAAAGCTTGACATCTTCTTGCACTTGTTTTCTGTATTCCCCAAAGCTAAAGCTTCGATAAACACACGGCTCGATTCCACTCTCGATTACCGTATCGTAAGACGGGCAAAAGAAATACGCGGCCGAAAATCTCTCGTTCAATGGATTAGCAACAACCCGGTGCTCAACGCTTTTATACACGTTATTGCTCCACGCCTGCAATAATTAATTAATTAGCTCATGCTAATTAAAACGTGCAAACGTGATTTTGACCATTTTTAGTAATATTGAAACGACATTTAACATGTCAGTTATATTTATTATTTACCTGAAATAAATCTCCGATGTTGATGATGAGGGCGTCGGGATTGGGCTTAACGGCGAACCACTTGCCATCTCGGACAAGTTGCAAACCTCCGATGTGGTCTTGATGTAAGACGGTGATAAAGTCGCTATCGGTGTGGGGCATTATCCCGAACATCTGAGGGTATATCGGGCAAGGTGGGTATCGGTTCAATCGGAGGTAGCAAGTGCTCGGCAAACACGTTTCTTTGAAGAAACACGACTTCTCCCCCATTTCTTCTGCTAGTATGTCTACTAGCTTTTGTGATAGATCGGACACCATTACCGCAAATTGCTCCATTATTGAACTGAAAATTCAAATATTTATAATTTTTTTGTTAAAAAACATTTTTTTTAAATGTGTATAATATATAAATTACCTAATTAACGTAATATTCGACACGAAAATTTTAATTTTGAATCTTGATTTTATTAGTGTTTATTCAATTTCTCCTTCGATTAATTAAGGGAACATACAACATGCATGCAGGCACAAATTGGGAATGGGAAAAATACAGTTTTTATCCCTCAATTTTACATCTATTCCACATTTGATCCTCTATGTTTTGAAAAAATACATTTGGTCACTCATGTTTAAAACAATCAACACTTTTAGTCATTTCCGTCAATTTTCCGTTAGCACTAACGGACTCAAGCGTGTTCCCATGATTTCCTTAACTGACGAACTAACGGTAAATTGACGGAAATGACTGAAAATGTTAAATTATTAAAACATAAGGTACCAAATGTCTTTTTTATGAACATGGAGGACCAAATATGAAATTGGTGCAAACTTTAAGGATGAAACTGTAATTTAAAAAAGTGGTTTTTTTTTTATTTAATATTATATTAATAACAGGGTGGACTTTTTAGTAATTAAAAGTAAAATAGGGGGGGGTTGAGTGCAATAAAAGAAAAAATTACCTGAGACTGTCGATGCCACCTGAGCCAATGACATCACTCAGCGATACATGAAAAGCTTCCGACCAAGAAAGCTGCTTCAGACACGTGGCGGACGGAGTGCCCCAACGGTAACTTCCGGCGGAGAAATTCAAATCCTTGTAGTTCTTCTTCTCGTGAAACGGCTTCTTGAACAGCTTCTTCTGTTCGCCCCTCATTCTCTCCATCACCTCGCCGGAGATTCCGTGGTTGACCACCTGGAAGAAACCCCACTCCGACGAAGCCCTAGCAATCTGCTTCCTGCAGGCTGCGGCCTCGGATTCTCCGAGGCTCAGCCGCCTGAGATCGATCAGCGGGAGCTCGCATTCCTCCACCGACGAAAGCTCCGGCATCAGGTTCATCTTCTGCGGCGGCGCTGTGGCGGTCAAGTTGCTGAAAAGACTCTTGTACGTTTTCTCGAACGGTGGGTCGGCTGTTTCTTCCATGCTTACTTGCTGTAACACAAAATTATTACAACCATGTTATCAATATATATATACATATATATATTTATAAGTTTATAACCAACTATTTATTTTCCCTTTTTTTTAATAAGGAAATTTATGTACGTTCAGAAATAGTTGTAATTTGTAAATTAAATTATAAAAAAAAAAAATCTCCTCTAGATAAATAGGATAATTAATTAAAAGAACGCGAGAGAAAACGCGGACGAAACTCGGAGAAAAAAACAGAGATAAAATGTAGACAAAAATTGACAGCTAAGAAAAAACATATGAAATATTTTTCATATGTTTCTTGTTTTTCGTCTTCGATGAAAACGTTGTCCGGTTTCTCGCCATTTGCACGCGTTTGATGAATTTGAAGACAAGGTCAATATTGTCTTTTAATAGTTTTGTGTTTTTGTTTGTGTATTATGTGTTAAAATTAGATGAAATTCTCGGGTATAGGTGGGCCATAATCGAATATCGTATATCAGTACATAATCTAATTTGGAAGTTATATTTTATTATATACTATAGCTTCTTTCTTTTTTTTTCTTGTTGTGGGGTTGCAATATTGACAAATAGGATATAATTCTTGATTTTTTTTTGGAGAAGTCAAATAGATATAAATAAATTCAAACCGGCCATCTTATATATGTATTTGTCTGCCTCTCAAGTATTCACAACAAATGCAGATCAAGAAAGAATTTATTTTTGAAAAAGAGACAAAAAGCAGAGAGACACAAGCTTTGCACATGTAAACGTGTCTATGACATCACACGTTTTTTAATAAAAGCATCCACGTTTTTATACACAGTTATGTTTGCTCAATTCAGATAATTAATTAATTAGTTTACATTTAAAAAAAAAAAAACATGCTTACTTGGTTCAGATGCTCCGATTGGTCCGCAGAAGACACCACCATCACAGCGTATTTCGACTTTGGTGGTTGTCGCCGTAACTGCATTTTCGATCAAGTGTCGTTTTCATTAGTACATATTGCAAATAAATTAGTGTATATATATATATATATATATATATATATATTCCCTATATGTATTCTTTCTTGACAAAAAAAACCTTAGCCATAATCAAGGTGCATGCATGGCGTTCACATCATAAAATGTGTGTGAATGGTGGATGATTAATATAATATATATAAATATTAGATTAACATGAAAAATAATATATATATATATATATATATATATATATATATATATATGTAAGAAAAATAAACTTACATTGGAGAAAGAGTTGGGCAGAAGAAGAAAGAAAAGCAGAGAGGAGGTAGTGGAAATGTGTGTGTAGGACTGATATCCAGGATGATTGGAAAAGAAAGATATTTATAGAGAAAATTTAAATGCCAATTAATAATTATCACCGCTGAAAAAATAAAAATAAAGTTAAAAAAAATAAAAATTAAAATTAAAATTAAAAAGGGGGGATTGAGAGTATATGTTGAAAGATAGGTACACGTGGCTCATATTGCAATCACTTGTTAGGGAAATAGCTTTGCTTGTGCATTTTTAGGCAGCTCGATTTTACATTCATGGATTAGACCATTTAATGGAAAATCACTATTTTATTTTATTTTTTTCTTTTGGGGTCAATTGTAATTAATTTTGATGCAAGTAGAATCAATCATAGTGGAAGAATTTCTAACTTGAAAAGGACTAGCTAGTGCAATTACTCAAGAGGGCTACAAATCTAGTGCGTGTCTAAAGAGTGTACAATTTCAAATGTTGCAATAGTTAACGAACGAGTTCGTAGCTAATCATATAATTGCACTGAATAAACCACACTCTCATATAATGACTGACATACAAACAACTAGGCTAACCACTGCGGGACGTACGATTCTTAGGTTTTACCTGAACTATTGTAAGATGTATGTCCATTTTCTCACAACACAAAATATCTCTTGAAATTAAATAAACTTGGTATAAATAAATGATCAATTTGAATTCACCACTTGAGAGAAATCTATTATTAGAAATATAAAATCAAATGATTGAGTGCAAAGTTGATAAATCTTAGGTTTATATATGACACAAAAAAGTGATAGTACAAAAAGATAATTTGGTAATAATAAATAATATAATAATTATTAAAGAGTAAGAAAAAAAGAAAGATAGAAGGATCGATTGGTGTAGATTGAAACAAGTATTGCAATTTGCACAATATATTCCCACTTATTATTTCAATTGGCTGTCGTTGTTCCAACTCCTCCCACTATTCAACAAATTAATCTCAATTTTTTCAATCTAAGGAAGAAACACTTCACATGATAAATGTGACTGGACCCAACTGTAATAACGGCAACAGCATCTTTAGTCCATGTCGGCATTCCCCTCCAATACTATATTATATTATATTTATATATATTTCTTGCTCGAATTTGGTTAATCTTAAATAAACTCTTTGATGTGGTACGATTCCACGTCACGTTTTGCAATCCATCCATCCTACTTCCTGATTTCTCTCGTGGGCATTGCCTGTATCACAAAAAATAAGCTTTGTATATATATATATGATAGAAGAATTCAGAGAATTCAAGAGACGGTCGGGAGTTATGAATTGCGTACCTTTAATTGTGAGGTTTCCGAGTATTTTATATGGCTCCTTCGACTCTACACCCGGTGATAAACACCGGGTGTGTCTTCTGCTGCCACGTGTCATTTTTTTATTTTTCTAAAATCCTTAAAGGTAAAACCCTAGCGGGGAATATATTATAAAATAGAAAAATGACATATGACAGCAGAAGACCCATCCGGTATTTATCACTAGGTGTAGAGTCGAAGAAGTCGTATTTATATGAAGACATATATTCTCATGGCCTAAGCCACTTGACACGAGTCTCACTGTTTAGATCATATTAGTTTGGGCCTTAGCTAACTTGAACTTGTATTATTATTATCTTTAGTCGATTTGAGCTTAGTTTGTGTGCCTCTATGAGCTTGTCGATATGGGCTTTTGGGCGTGGACCCATCACTCTTATATTTTGATAAATTGTTTTACGGATTGATGAGACTATTGTGTTTTATTTTTAGAAATAGTTCTTGACCAAACGGAGAACGAATATTCGATGAAATTTTATATATATATATATATATATATATATATATATATATATATATATATATATATATATATATATATATATATATATATATATAATATTAAAAAAATGGGGTAGAATGTAGTAATAAATGAAATGGTGGGGGCAAGGGGGTAAATAGTCAAGGTCACATGCTTAGTCTGAAATCCACGTCAGCGTAGGAGGAGAATGCATGTGCTTTGCCTACACTGAAAAGGACACCCCCAGACGTGTCCCTTCAACCCTTTATTAATTTACCCCTCACAACACAAAATATTTCCCACTTAGTTAAATTAAGTTTAATTTACTTAAATTAACTCTTAAATCTTAATATAACTTTAATTCATTTTTTAATAGATTAGATTACATATTATAATATTTGAGATTCCAAGGAGCATTCTTGTAAAAATATTTTAAATTTTGTTCTTGGGGGTAGTTTTATAATTTTATATTTAACATAGGATCAAAAATAATATTTCCATAAACTATTTATTTATTCTAATTTTTGTTTTAGTGACGGTAAGTAAAGCACGTGCCTCCATCATGTAATGTGGCCACTGACTCTTCGTCTTTTAAATTAGGTCAAGGACCTGGTCAACTGTGTCGTCAACGCAACCTGCGAATATTGACTCTATAAATTAATTATATTATATTAATTTCAATTTAAAGAAAAAATACTCGAACGGCGATTTAAATTTTAGGGTTAATCACAAAAAGACCCATGACAAGAGCACTTAATTAAAAGATGGACATCCAACTTTTTTGTCTTTCAAATAAATCCAGCTCATTCAAACTTATTTGCAAATAGGGAAAATCCTTTTATATATACCAAAATTACTCCCAATTCATTGAAACTCAATTCAACTCAAATTTAATAATTTACATCTCAATTTAGCCTAATTTCATCAATTAACCAATTTTAACCCTAATTTTAATTTTGACCCCAATTTTGACCCGCCACCACCGGAGACCGCCGGTCGCCGCCGTTGACTTTATTTTTTTTTTTGAAAAACCTTTTTTCCCTGAATTTTTTTTTCCGGCCGGTCAACTACCGTTGACCGCCGGGTCTCCGGCGTTGACTTTTTTTTTTTTATATAATTTTGTTTTTTCTTAAAAAAAATATATTTTAATTAATATTACTGTCTTGGCTGATAAATTACTGTCTCCGGCAGTTATTTAACTGTCGTAGACCGTAATTTAACTGTTAATTGATTTTTTTTTTCTTCAAAAATATTTTAATTAATATTACTGTCTTTGCTGTCAAATTACTAGATTGACTTTTTTTTTTAAATATTTTAATTAATATTACTGTATTCGTTGCTAAATTACTGTCTCCAGCAGTTATTTAACTGTCGGAGACAGTAATTTAATTGTTAATTGACTTTTTTATTCTTAAAAAAATATTTTTATGTAATATTACTGTATTCGTTGCTAAATTACTGTTCCTGCAGTTATTTAACGGTCGGAGACAGTAATTTAACTGTTAATTGACTTTTATTTTATTTTTTTAATTTTTTTTCTTAAAAAAAATTATTTTAATTAATATTACTGCCTTGGCTGCTAAATTACTGTCTCCAACAGTAATTTAACTATCTTAGACAATAATATTACTGTTAGGGAAAATAATATTCATAATATTACTGTCCCAAACAGTAATATTACTGTCTGAGACGGTAATTTAGTAGCCAAGATAGTAATATTAATTAAAATATTTTTTTCTAAGAAAAAAAAAATTCAAAAAAAAAAGGCAACGTCGGAGACCGGCGGTCAACGGTGGTTGACCGGCCGGAAAAAAATTTCAGGAAAAAAAAAAAGTTTGCAAAAAAAAAAAAAAAAAAAAAAGTCAACACCGGAGACCGGCGGTCTCCGGCGGAATCTGGCTGGAAAAAAAAAATCATAAAAAAAATTATATTCTGAAAAAAAAAATATTTTGGGGGTTAATGTGATATATTTGTTTAAATCCGGGGTCAATGTGTAGTATTAAGAAAGTTAGAGTATAATGGATGGAATTGATAAGAATTATATTATGGAGGGTATTTTAAAATAAAGAAATGGGAATGGGTTTAATTGAGAGACTGTTTTTTTTGTGGACCAAAATACATTTAAGTCCCATGTGATGAGACTTTTTGCTATTGCCCTAAATTTTAAGAGTAAATTACACCTATATCTCTGATGTATGCTAAAATAACTTTAAGGTCCATGTAGTAATGATAATTACAATCATCTCTCTGAAACTTTTACGGGATAATGCATTGGATAAATTATCTGGTTAGGGTTCTACAGACTATAATTTCAAACAGGGGTGACATGACTCTTCTAATATTTTTTAAATCATTATTATTTTATGTAAGAAATTTTCGTATGTGGCAGCATTAACGACCCCGCGTGAAACAAGTATAGTGCATATCGATCCACAAGACATGAAACAAATATTGTTTCAGGGGTGTGGTTGTAATTACCAAAACCACAGAGACCTTAAAGTTATTTTAGCATACATCGGGGGTGTAAGTGTAATTTACCCAAATAGTAATTATAGTTTGAGGGAACAAATTGTCGACGATAAATAAATAAATAAATTTATATTTTAATATGAACATTTAATATATTGTTAGGTGTTACCAACTGCGAGAGAGATGTGGTGCATTGTAGTGATGTACCTTCAAATTTAACGTACAAGTCTGAGCAGCGTTACATTTCAATTAGGTCATTAATTGAGGAAACTATTAATAATCTCCCCCACCAAGCACGGGCCCATATATACCAAAATAGATTTATTTTGACACGTGGAGATAAAATTTACCCCAACTAATGGTTGTAATTCAATTGGGTTTACTAGCAAACTTCTTTTATTTATTTTTTATTTTTTTTAGCTAATTATAGAGGGCATTTTGCGAATAATAGAAACACGAGAAGATATTTTCAGCAATTCGATATAACACATAGTACTGAATGCAATAAAATCTAATTGAATTCAATATATTATCCATGGTCATTATTTGAATGTTATCCAAATTTATCAAGTTGAGGTTATTAAAAGGAAAAAGAAAAACAAAAGGGGTCATGATTTAAATTTGATCCAAAATTAATATTGATCTTATCTTCAAACATATCTCATAACTTTAATTTGTAAGAGAATTTGTGGATTTGCTCTTATCCTCAAACACATCTACAATGTCATTCTCTTTATCTAGAACCACTTACTTAACTGCATATTTCGATATCTTATCTATTTTTTTTATCAAGAAAACAGTAGAAACGTCTAATATAGTTGCGCAAAAATTATTAAAAAAATATTATTAGTAATATCTATTTTAAAATAAAAAAAAAACAAAATTACCCTTTGTACTTAAGAAAACTATTAAATGTTTTATACACTCCACATGTATACTTACTAATGATAAAAGGCAAACTATAACAATAGTTTGGTTTTAAAACTCTAATGCTTATATGTGGTAGGATTAAGAGAATATGAGAACTCATGCAAGAGAACAAGATTTATCCGATGCATATATATAATTAAAAAAAAATCATAAATTGATTTCACGAATTGTTGGAGCATCTCTGGTCTTTGTGTTATTCCCCTTCTGCCCTTTCTTTATATATTTTCTCCCTTTTGCAGGTACACTGAGTTGAGTAGTAGATTGGAGACGAAAATGAGAAAGATTTCTACGAGGCTTTGTGGAAAAATCGTGAAAATTTGAGCTAATTTCCGAGTTTCAATTGAAATTATGGCAATTGCCTTAATAAATTGAAAATGATTAATTGAGAAGAAAATGACTTGTTCGAATTGCAAAGACATCATGATAATTCATATATCATTATTTCATTATATGTGTTCCCCCTATTTGTGATTCGAGATCATGTCTTGTCTATTTTATTATTTAATTTTTTCTTATGATTTGTTGCTTTCAACATTTAATAGCTATATGTACAATTTTTTTTCCTGCAATTTTCAATATCTAAGAAGAGTGAAGAAACTTCCATTATTAAATTAAACAATTTGGTAGCTCAATTTTTTCCTTTTACGTGATCTAGAAATTTCTGGGTCGCCAACAACATTCGATTGTGAGCTGTCCGTACCCGAGTCTCCCTTATATGGACAATTGCTGTCAAACTTAGGCTAACAGATTAAATAGACCAATTTGAAATGACCAAATTCATATTTGAAAAATAAATGCTTGTGCTAGGGTAGGTAGCCCCCCCCTCTTTCTTAGTTTTCTGCAATTAAGTTGCATTTATTTTTTATTTTATTTTGTTTTCTTTTTGAGGCATTTGTCCAATTCACTAATATAAAAAACATATAAAAAAATACAAAATAATTATTGCAATTAATTTATTATTATCTATATATCAAATGATTTGCACATACAAATGATTAATTTGACCATCTATGTTTCATCATCCTTTTATTTTCCAATTTTAATGTGACTAAAAAAGAAAAAAAGAAAAATAAGGACAAGAGTAATCAACTAATCATGGGTTGTGGGGCAATTCAATGATATGAAATTATACATATATATATGTATAGTTGATTTGAAATCTTAACTACGAACCTCCAATAAATTAAACATTTAATATTGATCGGGCCACATTGATTTATATTTAGATTCTTTATTTTTTTCTCTAGTGTCGCTCTCGCGGGGAATAGGAGGACAATTCTTCAAGGGTTATTATCTTAATAATTAAAAATACTTTTTGACCAAAAAAAATTTAAAAATTATAAAAATTAAAAATTAACTAGGGCCCTTAGTTGATATTGTGATTTGTGAGCATGTTAGCTATTTGTACAGAGGGTCGCAGTTACTCTTGTTAGGCCAGCAATCTAATCGGCCGACGTACGTACATAATTCCGTGTACATTAAGCGTAAATATAAATCTCAATGCATGTAGAAATTGAACCCAAAGAAATGTAATTACTTTTTACGATCTTTTAAGTTGCCTAGGGCAAAAACTGGCATGTGCCGAGTCAATATTCGAGAGCAAATTTATCATGCGTAGTAATATTCAATTACATGGGTTCGATTTGTGAAACAAACATTATCATATAAGGTCTCGTTGGGTTACGTAGATTATATTAATTTGGGTTTGATTAAATCTCTAGTGACTTTAACTAGTCGGTATAGTATCGATAACAACGATTATCCAATTCGTAGTAATTTATGGATAATAATGTCATTTTCTTTTAAATTACTAGTTACTACGTACAAAAGTAATCGAACGAATACGATACCTACTTATTTTATCGTATATAATCATTTTGTTTCGAACTGATGTTTTGTTGAATCTTGCCAAAGGTAAACGAACGTATTACTAGCTCATAATATTTACCCAATAAATGTACACAAATACATAGAATATATAAACATAGGCATAAAAAAACCCAATCAAGGGTCTCAATCAATCACATCTCAACAATAAAAATGCATTGTAGGTACATGAATCACACAATTTAGTCATTTTGGGGTGGGATTAGATTTGGATTGGTGATTGATGATTGGTGATAGAGCTTTATGTTTTTTTTTTCTTTTCTTTTTTTTTTTTAATATTTTTTTTTATTATTATTATTCAATTGATTCGGCCGTCAATCATTGGAGAGTCATGAAATTTCGCCCTTTTTTTCTTCATCCAATTCATTAATTAATTCAAAACTTTTTCTTTTTCTGCCAAGTGGCATTTGAATACTCCAAGACTACAACTTGATGATCATGTGCCTTTGCTGGATTTATTATGTCATCCATGATGTCATAAATTTGAATTTTTTGTTTTTAAATTTTTGCAGAAGTGAAATTTTGTTTTGGGATATGATTTAGATTTTTTTTAGAGATTAAATTTTGAGCGGATCAGCCGATATTTAATATAAATCGGATTCCACTATTTTTTTGACATGTGGCACTCTTAAGTCTTAACTCTTAATAAATCACGCTGATTATAATTAGGGTTAGAGGGGTTACGGGTTCTGCTGAGGTTTTCTTTTTTTCTTTTTCTTTTTTATTTCCAATTATTAGAATCCTAATTATATTTTTATTTAAACTATCCACGTGTCAATCATCCTATGACATCCGATATTCCTATTAAAACAGCCCATCCGATCTAAATTTGCATTTTTTTTATATGAAATGATTTTCCCATCAATATATGTAGTTCACATGTTCTGTGTTGAAATGATATTTTTTGGTGTTGGTTCAATGTATCTTGCTCATTCGATGGTTACTCACATGGTAATTATTATGGTGTTATATGTCAACCTTTTGCCCCCTTTTAAAATAATTTATTTCTATATAGTTTATTTCCTATTTTACCTTTAAATATTAATGATTTATTACCTTAGCCATAATTCTATTTGTTTCAACCTATTATAGTTTAGCATACGGGTGTGAATTAGCCGAGCTCCAACTTATGAGTTCACAAACACGGAACAGCTGAAAAAACGCTCGAACTGTACTCGTCAGAAATCTCGAGTTTCGAAAACTCGAGTTCGAGTTCGAGCCGGCTATCGAGCTTACGAGTCCACTCGACTCGTTTACCACCCTAATTATGTAGGACCGTAGAAAATTTGAGATCGAGGTTTGACAAATTAAGTCAGTTTGAGCTCGAGTCAAATTTGTCGAGCTCAAGTTTATTTTTTTTAAATATATTAATATTATTATTTTCTTATGATTATAAATTATTTATATTCAACTAAAAATGAACTGATTTTTTTCATGTATTTATTATATTGTAAATTTTATATTTCATATTAAAAAAAGGATGAAAATTACACATTATTTTGTCCTGTTGTTTTTAATTTAACTCATGTAAATAATACTTTACATTTTAATATGATTATTTTACTCAGTGTGATCTATCTGTGATGAGTGCAAAACCAGAAAATACAAACACACACAAATTGGGCTTAAAAGCAATAATTGAATAAGTCATAACAAAAATGATTTATTTGGGCTTTCGTGGCCCAAATCTAAATAGGATTTTTAATTTCAATAAATATTAAATAATTGAATTTTAATAAAAAAAAAAGCTATTAAATAATTGAAACGCATAATTAAAAAAAAAAAAAAAAAAAAAGAAAAAGAATATTCTATTGAGTCAACTCATTCCCAAGGGCTAATCCAGCATTCTTCTGGCAACGTAGTGTACCTCTTAGTATCCTTACAATAATCATACACGACAAGATTCCTCTGCACCCATGCATAATCTTTCTTCTGATCATCTGAAAGGTGCCACGTGTCATACTGGTCCCACCAGTTATCGGCGGTGTTGGACACGCACGCCGGGAAAGGATCCTCCCACCGGCAGCCGTCGGCCGTGAAGTCCGTGTAGGAAGAAACGAACGGCGACTTCGACCAGTCCGTCTTGTCGGCGCCGCCCCTCGTGGCCCAGTCTTCGGCGTCCCATATGCTCGAGAATAAGTACATTGGCTTCTCGTTCGGGAAGAAATTGTTCGTGTAGTTTGCGTTCTTGTAAACCCTAATCGGAACTTTATCCACGAAGATCCTGTTTTTTCATATTAAAAATAGTCAATTGTAGTGGAACTTCCGATTTTCGCCAATTTCAGTCCGAAATTTTTCGATTATGGAATAACATTTTTCATTCTGAATTCCTGATTTCTATTTTTCCAAAGCCTTTTGGATCAGAATTCGAATATATATGAGATTTCGGTTTTCGATCTGGTTTTAGTATATATCCTAGAATAATTCCAAGAATTCCACATTTTCCAAAAATTACAATTATAAAATCATTATTATGCATTTTATATTTTAGGTGACTAAGAAATTAGAATCTTACGAAATCCGCGGATTCCGGTCCGACTTTTTTTTTTCTACGAAATTAAAATGTGTTCAAAAAAAAAAAAAAAGAAAAGAAAAGAAAAGAAACTTACACTAATTGGTGATTGTTCCAAAGAAAGGAATAAGTATGAAAATCGTGAGTCGGATCGAACCACAAAGCGTGTCGCATTTCACGGCCACCGGTTCCGTTCTTGTACACATTTGTCTGTACAAGGTAAGGCTGCCCTGTTCTATTCCCCAAGAACTCTATATCCACCTCATCTCTCTCCGGCCCCGCCGCATTTTCCGAACACATCTGCACGCCCGGAAAAATTTATTTTATTTTTTTAACGAAATTTTTTAGTTACCAAATAAATAAACTACGCACGTGTCGTTTCGTATATCATATATAGAAGAAATTTAATTACACCTAACTTACGAAATAAGTCGTCACCACTCCTGCTGAATCACCTCCGACCGCTTTTATTCTCATGCTAAACCACCCGAATCTGTATCTCTCCTTCGTCATAAACCCACAACCTACGCGTATAATTAAAACATCATATGATTACGACAATCGGTTTTTCTTCTCTCTCACTATATATATATATATATATGTGTGTGTGTGTGTGTGTGTGTGTACCTCCTTGTTTATTGAGGGAGATATTCCAGATTTTGCCATCTTGAGAAGTCTTGAAATCATTATCCGGGCAGCTTTTCGTGAAAACATCACCGAATGGAGCGTTTGTTTCGGCTGCCCCGACCGGTGGACGGAATATAGCTGCGACGATCGCAGTAACGAAAATTACGAGACAAGCCCTCGTCTCCATTTTTACGGGCGGCAGCAGAAGAAAAGAAAATTAAAGAAAGTGTTTAATTAATTATTTTCTGTTTAATTATTATCTCTCTCTCTCTTTGCTCTTTTAATAAGTTTTAAAAAATGTGAAGTCAAATGCAAGTGAGAGTGATTAAGAAATAATCTTAATTAATTTTGGATCGGACAACTTGGATTTAATGTAATTAGACACATGCAGTTGATCAAGAATATCTGCATGTGTCCAGTTTGGAGTGATTAAGCCATGGTGGTCGTGCTACAATATGGTCCAACATTTGACTTTCTTGCAACTAATTTAACTTAATTGCATTCAACGCGCCTTAATTTAGTCTAATTGCAAGAAAACCCTATGTGTGTTTCTATTAGCAAAAACTACCCCATAAAAACACATTATTTAAGGGGTTGTGCTAAAACGATGCATCATAAAGGAATTTTTTACCAATATTAATAATATGGATGGGGAGTTTATCAGCCAACTGTTGCGACAAGTAACTCACGAAACCATGCAAAATCCTAATTACATTAATTTGTATGATAAACACCACGAGAAAATTAAACATAATAAAGAACATATAAAATTAATTAACGTGGTTCAGTCAAGAACAAAAGCCTACATTTACCGGGAAAGACAACATCAAACACCAACAATATTCGAGATTTACAAAGCACAAAAGATTTATCCTACACTATCTTCTCCGGTCTATTTTTCTCTTATGTTCTACAACTTTTCTATTTTCACTCTCTATTGTTTCGCTCGTGTTTTCTCTTTGACTCTCCCCAAAGGTAAGATAAATCATGATAACATAATATTTTCGAATCGACTCGTTAAATTATTGGAGATACCAAATATCAAACAAAGTCCAATGTTTAGTTAATCTTCCCTAATTTCCCTCGAGGAGCATTAGTCTCTTATTTGGTCTAGTTCTTGAAACAATATGTAGACAATCTCATATAAACGTTTAGATAATATTTAACATTTAATTACCCAAACAAAACGAAAATAGAAAGGACCAAGCCCAATACCACCTATAAATAAGAAGGCCCAGGCCCAAGTCACAAGTCCCAACTCCCAACCATAGGTGATGTCATGTATATACAATGTTAATAGTGAAAAATCATAACGTTACGACAGTTTGGCCGAGTGGTCTAAGGCGCCAGATTTAGGCTCTGGTCCGAAAGGGCGTGGGTTCAAATCCCACAGCTGTCAATTAAATTTTTATCATTTTTGTTTTAAGTGTTTTCAAATTGAAAAATAAATATGGAAATTAAAAATATTATAAGTCTGTTTGGCCGAGTTATCTGAAGCGTTATGTTTTGGCTCTGTTCTAAAAGGTCGTGGGTTCAACTCCCTACGCTATCAATCAATATATATATTTTTTTCTATATAAAACGACACCAATTATGTATCACCTACTCTTCTCCCTTCTGTTCTAAAAGGTCGTGGGTTCAACTCCCTACGCTATCAATCAATATATTTTTTTTTTTCTATATAAAACGACACCAATTATGTATCACCTACTCTTCTCCCTTTCCACAAAGAGGGCAACTATTTTAAATCCGCTTACTTGAATATTACCAAGTTGAAAACCACAATTGAGTACATATTTATAAGTTTTTTTCTTACTTTAATACCAAAATAAAAAGAAAAGTACAAAAATACCCTTTCATACAAAATATTAATTATATCAATTATTCTTTGAAATTACCTATTTGAAAACCAAATAAAAAAAAGAAAAAAAAAACTTCAAACACAATAAACAACGGCCAAACAAACCCGAGCAAACCTCCGTCCACCCCTCCCACGCCGCCCGACGCCGCCGCCGCTCCAACCATCGCCGCCGCCGGACGCTGACGCCAAACACCGCCGAACGCCGCCCAACGTCGCCCAAAGCCGCCGCCGTCGTCGTCTTCGAATAGTAAGTAATATTTGTTTCGATTTTTTTTCTTCAATATTTATTTAAGATTTGATTGTTTGATATGGGTAATTAGGATTTGGTTGTTTTAGGTTAGAATGATCGTTAATTAGTAATGGGTGCATCTGATTTCAGTCGATTTGAGCATTGATTTGAGATTCGTGGGTCGGTTCTTTGTTCACCATTTTCCACCTGTATATGTCGATTTT